GGCCAAAAAATTGATATTTAATAATATGTAGTATTACACCCGATATTACATGCGGAGGTGGAAAGTGTTTAATTATTGCCGAGAGATACTATGGTTGACCGAGGTGCGAAGCACCTCGGTCAACCAATTCTCGAGATAATATGTGAAAACTTTCCACCGAAATATGTATACTACTTTATTTTGAACCAATAATTATTGAAAAAAAAAAGGTGAAAAGGTGAAAATAATATAACAAAAACGGAATATCGACCGACACTTTGACACCGACATTGACACATTATGAAATTTCAATAATATAAACATATGTGACAATTGTGACATCCATTTCTAAATACAAACATTGCTCCTGGATTCGTGTTTAGGTGTGAAAGCACAATTTAGTAGGCCCAAAGTGAGTACTCCAGGCCGAAAGTGACAGGAGAACTGTCATATTCGGCCTGCTCAAAAGTAAACAAAAATAAAGTGGCATTTTCGAATCTTCATACCAGTGAGAAATGTGAAAATTACATTTATAGTTCAAAATAAAAATCCTTGTATCTTTTTGAAAATTGACACATGAACGTAGAATCGGATTCTGAACCACTTTTCTCTCTATAATTTTTCGATTTCTGGTCGTCTTATTATACTTTTTACATATTTAAGGCGAACTTTTTGAATTTTCCGCCATGACTGTGGTCACAGTGAATTTTTTTGTTGATGGGTATGCTGAATTGATCCCACGTAACATTTTTTTTGATATCTTAATAATAAAATATTTTCCCATTTGTTGCAATGTTTTTGGCGATCACTGTATGTATGTACCATAGGTTTCTATTTACAAAGGCGGTTTTCTGAATTACAATTGGAAAAAAAGATGCATTAAATATATTCTGTATATCGGAAAGCCACTTAGAGGCAGAAAATATATATGGTGGTAAGTCGATTTACCTGTATAGTTAGAGCCGTTTGTGTTTACCATACGCATATTGGGGGTCCCTCATATGGTTCGCAGTGGGTCAAAATATAGTAGATATTGTATAACAAGTTTGGAGGCTAAAAATAACTATGTGCAAATTATTTGATTTTGCATATAATGTGCATAAAAAATTGCTTTTAATTCGGGTTAACTTTTTATCGATTTAATTTTTTTACAATAAATTTCAATGCACACACACTTGATGTTTTAACCTATAGCCCAAGAAATTTATACCTAGGCCGCAAAAAATTTTGCGAGGGCAAGCTGATTTTTTCAGGGCTGATTGGGGAATGTGTCCTGAGCATTGAGCCAAAAAATCACACTCGAAAGCGTTCGGCCCTATTGGCCTTTTTCTTATTTATTTTTTTTCAACAAAATGACCTTCACAAAACTTGTGGATAATTACATTCTGATCAACTTTGCCTCATGACTTTTTTTGTTGGCTATTTTACTTTAGGCGCTGTGGCCATTTTAGTGCTTCAGAATTCGCAAAAAAATTAAATAGCAAACCTGCAGATTATTATACCTAATAAAATTCTCTATTATTTTGCTCAGTGATATTGTATTGTAACTTTATTTCTTTCGCTTGTACGGCCTTTTAGGCATTTGAAAAATTTTATTTAACCTCGTGGACATTGTGGCATGCATTTCTAAGGATTTGACACATTTTGCAGGTAAAATGTGGCGTTTCGCGAAATTGAATTTCGCGGACGGTTGCACAATAGCTATTTGTGTATTAAGAGCGCAAAGTGGTACTTTGCCCATCGAAAGATATTGTTGATATTGGAAAATGCACATTCGATTTTTTTTACAATCGCATTTGATAAAAAAATAGTTTAGGTTCAAAGAAACCAGTGGTAAAAGCAAGCGCTTCTACTACTTTGCCGCTCTAGAGCGACAAAGTGAAGGATTTTGACGTAGTTTGACGTTCTAAAGCGGCAAAGTGGAGGTCATCAGGAACCGTCTTTTTCGCGAGCACAAATCTAATCGACAAAGTATTGTCAAAAAAAAAAAACATTTCGATTTCACGCTTTCACTCCGGGAAAATAATTTTACCGGATTAGTGATGTAATGTATCATTTCTTGGACTGAAACCGAAAATGTAATGGAGTACATTACCAGTAATTTTATTAAAGTTACAATAATCTGCAGGTTTGCTATTTATTTTTTTTGCGAATTCTGGAGCACTAAAATGGCCGCAACGCCTAAAATAAAATAGCTAGCAAAAAAAGGCATGGGGCAAAGTTGATCAGACTATTATTATCTACAAGTTTTGTAAAGGTCATTTTGTCGAAAAAAAATAAATAAGAAAAAGGCCAATAGGGCCGAACGCACAAGGCTTTCGAGTGTGATTTTTTGGCTCAATACTCAGGACACAATCTCCAATCAGCCCTGAAAAAATCAGCCTGCCCTCGCAAATTTTTTTGAAAAACCCATAAAGGATCCTGCCCATAGTATACGGAGATTGTGTTTATGTCAAAATTGGCTGAATTTTGTATGTGATGTAGATCAGGCCTTCCTGATGAAAAGTTACCATTGCGCCAATCCTGAAAAATGATTTCTTTTTGAGAAATTTAATTTCATAGGTAGCAATAATAAATCGCTTGGACATTGTAATGAACGTACATACAAATAAGTGAATTATTGCGGAACTTATGGGTGGACCTCTGCGGGACGAGCGCAGCGAGTTCCGCAGCCATCTACTCACCAATATACTGTTGAACTATTCAAATAAGACACTCACCTAAAACGTGTAATTTTTAAACTAATGAGAATAACGCACATTTGAGTGAGTCAGTTTAGTATCGTAATTAAACAACATATTGATGAATAGATGGCTGCGGAACTCGCTGCGCTCGTCCCGCAGAGGTCCACCCATAAGTTTCGCAATAATTCACTCATTTGTACTTAAATAACTTGTCACATTATGTTACTAGTTTAGTAAAGTAACATTACTAATTCTTGTTGAAAAGCAAATTGACAAAAAGTGAATAATCATAATCTTACAAATTTTGACTTTATATAATAAATTATTGTTCAAGTACATATAAGTGGATTATTGCGGAACTTATGGGTGGACCTCTCAGCCATCTACTCTCCAATAGACCCTGCCCAAAGTATACGGAAATTGTGTTTATGTCAGAATTGGCTGAATTTTGTATGTAATGTAGATTAGATTACGCCTTTCTGATTAAAGTTACCATTGCACCAATCCTGAAAAATTAGGCACTTTACGTAGCACACAAGCTTACCTATTTATGTGTTACATTGTATGTACTTGAACAATAACTTATTATATAAAGTCAGAAATTATGAGATTATCCACTTTTTGTCAATATGTCTTTCAACAGGAATTATAGTAATGTTACTTTACCAAAATAGTAACATAATGTGACAAGTTATTCAAGTACAAGCGAGTGGATTGTTGCGGAATTTATGAGTGGACCTCTGCGGGACGAGCGCAGCGAGTTCCGCAGACATCTATTAATTAATCCGTTGTTCAAGTACGAGCCAACCTGACTCACTCAAATGTCAGTTATTCTAATTAGTTTAAAAACTACGAGTTTCAGGCGAGTGTCTTATTTGAATAGTTCAACAGTATATTGGAGAGTAGATGGCTGTGGAACTCGCTGCGCTCGTCCCACAGAGGTCCACCCATAAGTTCCGAAATAATCCACTTATATGTACTTGAACAATAACTTATTATATAAAGTCGAAATTTGTAAGATTATGATTATTCACTTTTTGTCAATTTGCTTTTCAACAGGAATTAGTAATGTTACTTTACTAAACTAGTAACATAATGTGACAAGTTATTCAAGTACAAATGAGTGAATTATTGCGGAACTTATGGGTTCCGGACCTCTGCGGGACGAGCGCAGCGAGTTCCGCAGCCATCTATTCATCAATATGTTGTTTAATTACGATACTAAACTGACTCACTCAAATGTGCGTTATTCTCATTAGTAAAAATTACACGTTTTAGGTGGGTGTCTTATCTGAACAGTTCAACAGTATATTGGTGAGTAGATGGCTGCGGAACTCGCTGCGCTCGTCCCGCAGAGGTCCACCCATAAGTTCCGCAATAATTTACTTATTTGTATGTACGTTCATTACAATGTCCAAGCGTTTTACTATTGCTACCTATGAAATTAACTAATGGCAAGAACTGTCTCAGTGTCATTTCAATGTTCGATAATTTCAATTTTGAAGCTTCTCAGGTGCAAAACTGTTAAAACCAAATTGAAATCTTAATTAATAGGTTTGTATGGAATTTAATTGGCTTTAATTAGAGCTTAGTTACATTGAAATCGGATAAAAATTACTGGAGCTGTGATGCAAAAGCTGTCTCAGTATTATTCTTGAAAAATTTTCAATGTTCCATAAATTCAATTTTGAAGCTTCTCAGATGCAAAACTGTTGAAACCGAATTGAAATCTTAATTAATAGGTTTGTATAAAATTTAATTGGCTTTAATTACATTGATATTGGATGGAAATTAATGGAGCTGTAAGCCAAAAACAGTTTCAGTGTCATTTTTGGAAAATTTTCAATGTTCCATAAATTCAATATTGAAGCTTCTCAAGTGCAAAACTGGTGAAACCAAATCAAAATCTCAATTAACAGGTTTGTAGAGAATTTAGTTTGCTTTAATAGAGCTTAATTACATTGAAATCGGATGGAACTTAATGGAGTTGTGAGAGTTTTCAACAAGGTTTCCAAGTTTTTCAAAAGTAAGGATGCAGAAAATTCCTTATCCAATTATTTCAATTCCAGAAACTAATGAAAGAGCCTATTTAACAGCTCCAAAAACGAATTTTTCAAAAACATATTTTGTCTATTGCTTTCAAATCATGTACCATCAACCACTGTCTTATCCTGGCTCCCTCATATGCCCTGACCAGCTGTTGCGAACCCCCTGAAACACCCCTCGGAATCGAAAAATGGGTGGAGCGATTTGCCGCGCGCTCGTGCCACATGCCAAACGTTAAAATTAGATCGAAAAACTTTCTCAGTTGTCGTTCTATTGCTGCCGAAGAAAGCGCGCGTATATAGTACCATCATTGCTCAATTAGACACATCCGGTACGACCTTAAGTAGTGAACTTTATATAGTGACTATGTTTTAATTGTTTCGTTAAAATGTCTCAGATCAGTGTAGTGCAGTATAATAATTCGGTGCCTCAAAAAATTCTTCAGCAACAAAGTGCCAATAATGACCGGCAAATTATTATTTTAAGAAAACCTACTGCGATCCTGCCCCAACCCAAAGATGAAATTTTGCTTACCAATCCGGGACGTAAAGGGCCAATTAAAAAAGACATGAAGACGAATCCTCAGCCGATTGCAGTGGCCAGAAGAAACGCGCGGGAACGTAACAGAGTCAAGCAAGTCAATAATGGATTTGCCAATTTGAGACAACGCATTCCCAATTTTATCGCTCAGGCCTTTGAAACTAACAATGGCAGAGGCAACAAAAAATTGAGCAAAGTTGAAACTCTACGGATGGCTGTAGAGTACATCAGAAGTTTAGAAGACGTTTTAGCTCTCGATGGCTACACTCTACCCAACAACGAAGAAAACACTTGCCCATCTCCGTTGTCTCAAAATAACGACTCTAGCACATCTCAAAATGACTTAAATTATAATTTCGATGACGACGAAGACGATTTTTCTTCAGTAGCCACTCCATCACCTCAGCAATACATCAGAATCAATACATCAAACAACACATTTGAAATAGTACCATCTTTGTACGAAAATTCCGAAAACATGGACCCAATGTCCGTAATGTCAGAGCTGGATTTGCAAAGCCAAGACCTCTCTTACTTGCAAGTGAACACCACGGACTCGCTAAGCCCCGGCATGTACAGTGAAGGTTCTTTGAGTCCTCAAAACGACTCCAAAGTCCAGGAGCCGCTGCCTCAAAACTGCTTCATACCAGTGTTTGCTACAGGAAGGATAAGGGAAAATTTTAATGTTCAAGTCAAGACGGAACTTGACGATTTGCCTGTGTTGAAGGCCCAAGATCAGGAGAGTTTGCCTCGAGGGATGGAGGTGGTGAATTGGTGGGACACTAATGCTGGAGGACAGCAGAGTAGCTAGCAGGAGTGATTTTATTCATATAAAGTAAGCAAAAATTGAGTCAAAGTCTTGAGTTCTTAACTATTTCTCTTTTTTGTTTCAGATTATTATAAGGAACCACAACTATTTAAGTATTTATTTGATCTCATCATTCTAAAAAAAAAAAAGAAAAGACTAAATGGAGCGAGTTACTAGTCCATTAATTTATTTGTAAATAGTGATAAGGTAAATCAAAATTTGTAAATTATTTTTGGTAGGTATTTGTAGTTTTATGGAATTATTTAAATAAATTGAGCTCATTTTGTAGGCCTAATCTTTTGATTTAATTATAACTTTTAATTTAAAGCATCAAGTGCCTATAAAATTTTATAATGTAAATTATTGATTTTTTTCTCAGGAGTAATTGGCGGATAATGCTACAAAATTTGAAATCATTTTATTAATTTACTAATTGATTTCAAATATTTTGCTTTAGAATTCTTCAAAGAATATATTGTAGAAGCATGATTCACCAATTACTTCCATATTTATTAAGCTGTTGACGCGACCAAGAAAACTGTAGTTAATTTTAATAAGTGACTTATTTAGGCTAGTGATTATAATGTAAGTGGTATCCAGTAAAAAGAAAACATTGTTAAGTTTATTGAAAATTTTATAATACATATAATATATTTTCTTAAATTTTGTATATTTTTTGAGTTTTATTGTTGCAATAATTAGTACTTATGGGCTACAATTTCTTTGGAATTAAGTACGAGGATTTATTATCATACCTAGTTGTAATTTTATTGAGGATCTGCTCGTTTTTCTCTTCTTTTAATTTATCCATTTTTACAATTATTTTTTTTCTCTTTGTGCTGCAAATTTTACATCTTTTTCATAAAACTGGGTGTTATTCTGTTCCAATTTAGCTTTTAAAGACAATGTTACTTGTTTCCTTCAATACAACTTTAAATTAATGTATCAGCAAGTTTCTGAAGCTATAGTTAAGGAATTTATGGGAAATTGGAGAATTTATAAGAAATTGAGGGAATTTATTGGTTTTAGCTGGAGAAAAGAAAATATGATTATATCGGATTCAATTATAAACCGTGTGTAAGTAAGAGTAAGATTCAGGTTTAAATATAATCAAGTCAGCTTCCATCATCAACTATGTTGCCATGATGCTGAGTCAGCTTCAATGGGCTCTTTCACTAAAATTCAAATATATAATTTAGGTATAAAATCCTAAAGGAGGGACTATTTTAGGCTCGATTTTAGGCATATATACCAGAAAAAAAATGATCTACAATGTTGAATAGGTTTTTTACAGGCACTTAAAACTGGCCAAATTCAAAATGATTTAAAACGCGCAAAGTGATGACGTCATCTGAATAATTTTCATTTGGCCGAAGTTTGGTAGCTGCTGACCAGCTCGGCTGTGTTACCCTCTAGTAAAAGGTTCGAATGCGCTGTTGTCGGTTGTGACTAAATGTAGTGCGACGTTAGGAAAATAAATAAAAATTAATATAAAAAATACAATTAAATTGGTTTAAACATAATTTGTAATATATAATATAATATTTTCTATTTATTTAAAAAATTATTTTTCACTTTTTAGTTCAATTTACTATAAAAGCGTGTTTTTCAGTTTTTTTTTAAATATATTTATTTTTCCCTTTTAGTTCGATGTATTATAAAAAGCGTGTCAGCCCCTGAGATTTTCAGACTTTTCCAGACATTATCCAGACTAATTTAGAATTTTCTAGAGTTTTTCAGATTTCATCCAGATTTATCCAGACTTGTACAGACTGATCCAGATTCTGGAAAATGATCCCCAGGTCTTTTGGGCAGAATTGGCAGAATTTTTTCGACCCTTTCCTGAAATTTCCAGGCTCTTTCCAGACGTTTCTAGAGATTTCCAGACTTCATCCAGATTATTCCAGACTTTATCCAGACTTGTTCAGACTGATCCGGATTCTGGAAAATGATCCCCAGGTCTTTTGGGACCTTTTTCAGAATTTTTCCAACCTTTTCCAGAAATTTCCAAGTCTTTTCCAGACATTCCCAGAGATTTCCAGACTTTTCCAGACAATAACCAGAGTTATCCAGAGTTTTCCAGACTTGTTCCAGCTCACTTGGCTTGTTCCAGGTTCTTGTTGTGTGTTTAATATAAGCGTGTTAAAAAAGTGTTGCATTTTCGTTTCATGTCGCTTTTTCGTTTCTTCGAGTCTCAAATCACTCCCAACGATTCAAAAGAAGTTTTCACTTTCGTTTACACAGCAATTTACAGTAGACTAAATAATTTTATTCAGATGCAAATGAAATAATAGTATTTCACATTTTTAGCTAGGTAAAGCAGTTTTTAGTTTTTACTAGCGTTTGAAAGAAGTGACTACCCTTTCCGAACTCAGCGACATCTTTTAGAGAAGCGCTAAACACACGTTTGGTTTGAGTCTCTGCTGAAAATGACAGCAATCACCTCGTTGTTTGGCAGATTTTGATTAATTTTGTGATAAAAACATTATAATTTTCGAAAATTCTGTCCTATTCATTTTTTTCCAGCATTTTACTATCCGAAATTTTGGAAATTTATTGTTGATGTGCTACTCTAGGTATTCGTCCCTTTTTCATTTAAATCCATGACCAAAATTCGATATTGTTGTCAACAAAATTGGTAATAATTTTACTATTTAGAATGCGTCTTTTGCAACCAAAAATGCTTCGAATCATACTGCAATCTATTATTGTTATGAACATAACTTCATTTCACTGAAAAATGGTCTAAATTTGGAATTGAACAGAAATTTGTGAAGGCATTGTTTTGACGTTTTTACCTGACATGTTCTCATTGTTGCCAGCAAAGGTAAATAAATTAGAGCGAGGGAAATCGAGGAGGGAAGTCAAATAGGGAAATCGGTGAGGGAAATCAAAGAGGGAAGTGACACAGGTAAAGTGACACTTTCAAATTTTCAAAAATTCAGCAATGTCAAGATTACATATATGGTTGCAAATAAAAAAATAAAACAAACCTGCCAAAATGTGTCATTCACTGTTTTGACGTTTTTACCTGATATGTTCTCATTGTTGCCAGCATAGGTAAATAAATTAGAGTGAGGGAAATCGAGGAGGGAAGTCAAATAGGGAAATCGGTGAGGGAAATCGAAGAGGGAAGTGACACAGGTAAAGTGACACTTTCAAATTTTCAAAAAGTCAGCAATGTCAAGATTACATATATGGTTGCAAATAAAAAAATAAAACAAACCTGCCAAAATGTGTCATTCACTGTTTTGACGTTTTTACCTGACATGTTCTCATTGTCGCCAGCAAAGGTAAATAAATTAGAGTGAGGGAAATCGGTGAGGAATGTCGAATAGGGAAATCGGTGAGGAAAATCGAAGAGGGAAGTGACACAGGTAAAGTGACACTTTCAAATTTTCAAAAAGTCAGCAATGTCAAGATTACATATATGGTTGCAAATAAAAAAATAGAACAAACCTGCCAAAATGTGTCATTTACTGTTTTGACGTTTTTACCTGATATGTTCTCATTGTTGCCAGCATAGGTAAATAAATTAGAGTGAGGGAAATCGGTGAGGAATGTCGAATAGGGAAATCGGTGAGGGAAATCGAAAAGGGAAGTGACACAGGTAAAGTGACACTTTCAAATTTTCAAAAAGTCAGCAATGTCAAGATTACATATATGGTTGCAAATAAAAAAATAGAACAAACCTGCCAAAATGTGTCATTCACTGTTTTGACGTTTTTACCTGACATGTTCTCATTGTTGCCAGCAAAGGTAAATAAATTAGAGTGAGGGAAATCGATGAGGAATGTCGAATAGGGAAATCGGTGAGGGAAATCGAAAAGGGAAGTGACACAGGTAAAGTGACACTTTCAAATTTACAAAAAGTCAGCAATGTCAAGATTACATATATGGTTGCAATAAAAAAAATAAAACAAACCTGCCAAAATGTGTCATTCACTGTTTTGACGTTTTTACCTGATATGTTCTCATTGTTGCCAGCATAGGTAAATAAATTAGAGTGAGGGAAATCGAGGAGGGAAGTCAAATAGGGAAATCGGTGAGGGAAATCAAAGAGGGAAGTGACACAGGTAAAGTGACACTTTCAAATTTTCAAAAAGTCAGCAATGTCAAGATTACATATATGGTTGCAAATAAAAAAATAGAACAAACCGGCCAAAATGTGTCATTCACTGTTTTGACGTTTTTACCTGACATGTTCTCATTGTTGCCAGCAAAGGTAAATAAATTAGAGTGAGGGAAATCGAGGAGGGAAGTCAAATAGGGAAATCGGCGAGGGAAATCAAAGAGGGAAGTGACACAGGTAAAGTGACACTTTCAAATTTTCAAAAAGTCAGCAATGTCAAGATTACATATATGGTTGCAGATAAAAAAATAGAACAAACCTGCCAAAATGTGTCATTCACTGTTTTGACGTTTTTACCTGACATGTTCTCATTGTTGCCAGCAAAGGTAAATAAATTAGAATGAGGGAAATCGGTGAGGAATGTCGAATAGGGAAATCGATGAGGGAAATCGAAGAGCGAAGTGACACAGGTAAAATGACACTTTCAAATTTTCAAAAAGTCGGCAATGTCAAAATTACATATATGGTTGCAAATAAAAAAATAAAACAAACCTGCCAAAATGTGTCATTCACTGTTTTGACGTTTTTACCTGACATGTTCTCATTGTTGCCAGCAAAGGTAAATAAATTAGAGTGAGGGAAATCGAGGAGGGAAGTCAAATAGGGAAATCGGTGAGGGAAATCAAAGAGGGAAGTGACACAGGTAAAGTGACACTTTCAAATTTTCAAAAAGTCAGCAATGTCAAGATTACATATATGGTTGCAAATAAAAAAATAAAACAAACCTGCCAAAATATGTCATTCACTGTTTTGACGTTTTTACCTGACATGTTCTCATTGTTGCCAGCAAAGGTAAATAAATTAAAGTGAGGGAAATCGGTGAGGAATGTCGAATAGGGAAATCGGTGAGGAAAATCGAAGAGGGAAGTGACACAGGTAAAGTGACACTTTCAAATTTTCAAAAAGTCAGCAATGTCAAGATTACATATATGGTTGCAAATAAAAAAATAAAACAAACCTGCCAAAATGTGTCATTCACTGTTTTGACGTTTTTACCTGATATGTTCTCATTGTTGCCAGCATAGGTAAATAAATTAGAGTGAGGGAAATCGAGGAGGGAAGTCAAATAGAGAAATCGGTGAGGGAAATCAAAGAGGGAAGTGACACAGGTAAAGTGACACTTTCAAATTTTCAAAAAGTCAGCAATGTCAAGATTACATATATGGTTGCAAATAAAAAAATAGAAAAAACCTGCCAAAATGTGTCATTCACTGTTTGACGTTTTTACCTGACATGTTCTCATTGTTGCCAGCATAGGTAAATAAATTAGAGTGAGGGAAATCGAGGAGGGAAGTCAAATAGGGAAATCGGTGAGGGAAATCGAAGAGGGAAGTGACACAGGTAAAGTGACACTTTCAAATTTTCAAAAAGTCAGCAATGTCAAGATTACATATATGGTTGCAAATAAAAAAATAAAACAAACCTGCCAAAATATGTCATTCACTGTTTTGACGTTTTTACCTGACATGTTCTCATTGTTGCCAGGCTGCCAGCAAAAGTAAATAAATTAGAGTGAGGGAAGTCAAATAGGGAAATTAGTGAGGGAAATCGAAGAGGGAAGTGACACAGGTAAAATGACACTTTCAAATTTTCAAAAAGTCAGCAATGTCAAGATTACATATATGGTTGCAAATAAAAAAATAGAACAAACCTGCCAAAATGTGTCATTCACTGTTTTGACGTTTTTACCTGACATGTTCTCATTGTTGCCAGCAAAGGTAAATAAATTAGAGTGAGGGAAATCGGTGAGGAATGTCGAATAGGGAAATCGGTGAGGGAAATCGAAAAGGGAAGTGACACAGGTAAAGTGACACTTTCAAATTTTCAAAAAGTCAGCAATGTCAAGATTACATATATGGTTGCAAATAAAAAAATAGAACAAACCTGCCAAAATGTGTCATTTACTGTTTTGACGTTTTTACCTGATATGTTCTCATTGTTGCCAGCATAGGTAAATAAATTAGAGTGAGGGAAATCGGTGAGGAATGTCGAATAGGGAAATCGGTGAGGGAAATCGAAAAGGGAAGTGACACAGGTAAAGTGACACTTTCAAATTTTCAAAAAGTCAGCAATGTCAAGATTACATATATGGTTGCAAATAAAAAAATAGAACAAACCTGCCAAAATGTGTCATTCACTGTTTTGACGTTTTTACCTGACATGTTCTCATTGTTGCCAGCAAAGGTAAATAAATTAGAGTGAGGGAAATCGATGAGGAATGTCGAATAGGGAAATCGGTGAGGGAAATCGAAAAGGGAAGTGACACAGGTAAAGTGACACTTTCAAATTTTCAAAAAGTCAGCAATGTCAAGATTACATATATGGTTGCAAATAAAAAAATAAAACAAACCTGCCAAAATATGTCATTCACTGTTTTGACGTTTTTACCTGACATGTTCTCATTGTTGCCAGGCTGCCAGCAAAAGTAAATAAATTAGAGTGAGGGAAATCGGTGAGGGAAGTCAAATAGGGAAATTAGTGAGGGAAATCGAAGAGGGAAGTGACACAGGTAAAATGACACTTTCAAATTTTCAAAAAGTCAGCAATGTCAAGATTACATATATGGTTGCAAATAAAAAAATAGAACAAACCTGCCAAAATGTGTCATTCACTGTTTTGACGTTTTTACCTGACATGTTCTCATTGTTGCCAGCAAAGGTAAATAAATTAGAGTGAGGGAAATCGGTGAGGGAAGTCAAATAGGGAAATTAGTGAGGGAAATCGAAGAGGGAAGTGACACAGGTAAAATGACACTTTCAAATTTTCAAAAAGTAAGCAATGTCAAGATTACATAGCAAATAAAAAAATAAAACAAACCTGCCAAAATGTGTCATTCACTGTTTTGACGTTTTCACCTGACATGTTCTCATTGTTGCCAGCAAAGGTAAATAAATTAGAGTGAGGGAAATCGGTGAGGGAAGTCGAATAGGGAAATCGGTGATGGAAATCGATTTAAGTGACATAGTTTAAAGTGACACTTCCAAATTTTTAAAAAGTCAGTAATGTCAAGATTTCATATATGGTTGCAAATAAAAAATCTTACCTTATAGGAATTGTAGCGTCATTATTACGTTGATTCATTATGGAAACTTCACCTAGAAATAAAAAATCCTACATTAAAATATACCTCTGAATCGATTGGGAATGTCAAAATTTGGAAAATATAAAAAATCGAAATTTCGTAATTGCATTACTAAGCCATTATCATGAAATTATGCCATTTCAACCTTAAAAAACAACAACCAAAAAACTCAATATTCAATAATACCAGTAGACAATAATAATGTATGTAAAAAATCCAATTGTTTGAAAAAATATCGATGAAAAATATAAAAGAATTGTTAATTGAAATTCTTGACTAGTCATTGTCAAATTGTGGAGACCCAGTTCGAAAATGAGTGCAGTAGTGGTAGGAATAATTTTTTGATATTTTTTTTCTGTGATTGTGGTGCTTCAATGGGGTGTTTTGCAATAATTACAAAATAGTGTTAATGTTATAACCATATAATTTTTGTAAATTGTATATGTAATTTTCATATACAGTCGCCAAACTAACAAGAATTCAATACTGGTAATTTTTGACTGGGTGGCGAACGCAATATTAAAACATCGTAAAATAGGGCAAAAATCTTCATCTCATTGTCAAAAAAAGTTCTATTGATTGTTTAATATAAATTAATTTCATTTTAGGGAACCGAAATCTTGGCTGCACCCGCCTCTTTTGTCCCTAATCTTTTTGTTACCGTTTTATTTGGGACAGTAACCTTACTGGCAATCTACCATTTTTGGTTCCAATCCCTCCATTATGTTAAACTTTCTAAAAATATTCCTGGACCAACTCCATTACCTTTCGTGGGTAATGCTTTAATGGCAATTGGAGTATCTCCTATAGGTGGGTAACAATCTTAACTAATTCAAGATTTTATTTTAAAAAAAAAATCTATTGCAGAAATAATGCAAAAAGTCTTAGACATTCATAAAGAACTTAAAAGTGATGTTGCAAAAATTTATATTGGTCCCAAGTTGTACATAGGATTAACAGACCCTAGAGATGTTGAAGTAGGTATTATTATATAACAAAATTTGAATTTATTGAATGTCCGTTCTAGTTGATTTTGGGAAGTCATGTACATTTAGAAAAATCGTGGGAGTACAAACTTTTCGAGCCCTGGCTAGGCGAAGGGCTTTTAATTAGTAAAGGTCAATATCTATATACTAAATATTTAAGAATTTTTTAAAAGAATTTTTTGCAGGTGATAAATGGAGAACCCACAGGAAAATGATTGCTCCAACTTTTCACTCGTCTATTTTGAAGTCTTTTATGCCCGTTTTTAATAAAAACGCTCTAAGTCTTTTGAATCAGCTTGAAAAAGTTAAAGGGCAAATATTCGATGTACACGATTATATGAGCGGCACTACTGTAGATATTTTATTGGGTAAGTTGTTCAATAAGGCCAACGAAAAATAATTTATAAGTTCAATGCATAATAAAAGTCAAATTCTTCAAATTTTCTAATAATTTTCTTGAAAAGTTGGTCTTGCAAAATATTTGGAAACTATTAAGTTTTCTGAGAAATACTTAGTCATCTAATATAATGTCAAAAGCTGATTTTTTTTTTCTGGTTAAAATTTGCCCTCCATTTCTATACATACATAAATTATAATATCAAAGGAAGTTATAAACAGCCCCTACACACATTTTTTATCTACTTTCAACAAAAAAAACGCCCCGACATTCATCATGATGTATGGAATATAATATTTGATATGAAATAAAGGAAGGGAACTGGGAAAAATGTCAATATTGAAGTTTGAAAACATAAAATACAAGAAAGTATTTTTCCGTTTCTCATGCGATTTAAGTAACTGGATTGTTCAAAGCACCTTATTGTGTGTTTTGGTAAGGCTTTGCAACAATTGAACTTTCAACAATGTTAATATTTTTCAAGAAACTGCAATGGGAGTTAAGAAAACCGAAGAAGACAATACTGGATTCGAATATGCCAAAGCTGTAATGGAGTAAGTTTTATAAATTACATTATTACAAATTATAAATCAAATTTTTTTTTTTTTAGTATGTGCAATATACTACATTTAAGACACTACAAAGTGTGGTTGAGGCCGGCGTTTATTTTCAAATGGACAAAAATGGCCAGTGAACAAATCAAATTTTTGGAAATAATTCATTCGTTAACAAGAAAAGTAATTAAACGTAAGAAAGAAGATTACTTTGTGAGAGTTTCGGCAGGAGAGGCAAGCTTGTACAAGGAGGCAGTGAAAGCTGAAGAGGCAAATAATAAGGTGAACGAAAAAACTGAAAACTATAAATATATTCGTGACGATTTAGAAGATATCGAGGAGAATGATATTGGTAAGATTTCAAGCAAAACTTCTTATATCAAATCAAGCAACGTAAACTTGAATTTTAGGAGAGAAAAAACGTTTAGCGTTCCTAGATTTCATGATCGAAGCCAGTCAAACAAAAGGAAATAAATTAACTGATGAGGAAATCAAAGAGGAAGTTGATACGATTATGTTCGAGGTATATTTTGTCTCTAGTAATGACTTTAAGCTTATTTGAAAGAAACTTAGGCCTAATAATATATTTGGTACAAAATTAATTTGCTTGGAAAATTCAAAAAAATTTATAAGGGGAATTGCACAAAAGTTTTATTCAAGAAACTGCATTATATTTCCGTAAGGAAGAGTAGGTACCTATTTAAAAGGCTTTATGCATGATTTTTTCCTCGGAAATTTAATCAAAATTGGAAATCAGTTTTTAAATTTTCAGTAACGATTTTGATTGTTTTTCATGTTGCCATAATTAATTTGAAATTTCACTATGATGAGCCCAGAGCTGTCAATATTTGAAGTATATTAATTGAAATTCATCTACTTCAAGTACATTATGTACCTATTAAGTAGTTTAAGTATTTTACTTGAACTACGGTCAGAAACAAAAATTGAATGTCAGAAATGTGAAATGTTGCATGCTTTCAGCTTTTTTCAAATGGAATGCCCTAAATTTCATTCTATATTCTTGAAGAGCATAATGCTTTAATTCCAAGAATATATAGTTTGTCTATATTTGATTGAACAGTCTCCCATATATTCGGCTCCAAATATTGTAAAAATACTATCCTACTACTGATGTCGTGAACTATATAAAGTCAGAATTTGTAACATTATTCATTTTTTGTCAATTTGCCTTTTGACAGGAATTAGTAATGTTACTTTACCAAACTAGTAACATAATGTGACAAGTTATTCAATACAAGCGAGTGGATTGTCGCGGAACTTATGGGTGGACCCAGCCATCTATTCACCAATATGTTGTTCAAGTATAATACTACCCTGATTCACTCAGTTGTGAATTTTTCTCATTAGTTCAAAAACTACACGTTTCAGGTGAGTGTCTTATTTGAACAGTTCAACAGTATATTGATGAGTAGATGGCTGCGGAACTCGCTGCGCTCGTCCCGCAGAGGTCCATTCATAAGTTCTGCAACAATCAACTTTTTTGTACTTGAACAATAACTTATTATATAAAGTCGGAATTTGTAAGATTATCCACTTTTTGTCAATTCGCCATTCAATAGGAATTAGTAATGTTACTTTACCAAACTAGTAATATATTGTGACAAGTTATTCAAGTACAAATGAATGGATTGTTGCGGAACTTATGGGTGGACCTCTGCGGGACGAGCGCAGCGAGTTCCGCAGCCGTCTATTCATTAATATGTTGTTTAATTACGATACTAACCTGACTCACTCAAATGTGAGTTATTCTCATTAGTTTAAAAACTACACGTTTCAGGTGAGTGTCTTATTTGAATAAATCAACAGTATATTGGTGAGTAGATGGCTGCGGAACTCGCTGCGCTCGTCCCGCAGAGGTCCATTCATAAGTTCTGCAACAATCAACTTTTTTGTACTTGAACAATAACTTATTATATAAAGTCGGAATTTGTAAGATTATCCACTTTTTGTCAATTCGCCATTCAATAGGAATTAGTAATGTTACTTTACCAAACTAGTAATATATTGTGACAAGTTATTCAAGTACAAATGAATGGATTGTTGCGGAACTTATGGGTGGACCTCTGCGGGACGAGCGTAGCGAGTTCCGCAGCCGTCTATTCATCAATATGTTGTTCAAGTATAATACTACCCTGATTCACTCAGTTGTGAATTTTTCTCATTAATTCAAAAACTACACGTCTCAGGTGAGTGTCTTATTTGAACAGTTCAACAGTATATTGATGAGTAGATGGCTGCGGAACTCGCTGCGCTCGTCCCGCAGAGGTCCATTCATAAGTTCTGCAACAATCAACTTTTTTGTACTTAAACAATAACTTATTATATAAAGTCGGAATTTGTAAGATTATCCACTTTTTGTCAATTCGCCATTCAATAGGAATTAGTAATGTTACTTTACCAAACTAGTAATATATTGTGACAAGTTATTCAAGTACAAATGAATGGATTTTTGCGGAACTTATGGGTGGACCTCTGCGGGACGAGCGTAGCGAGTTCCGCAGCCGTGTATTCATCAATATGTTGTTCAAGTATAATACTACCCTGATTCACTCAGTTGTGAATTTTTCTTATTAGTTCAAAAACTACACGTTTCAGGTAAGTGTCTTATTTGAACAGTTCAACAGTATATTGGTGAGTAGATGGCTGCGCTGACACCCCACCTACAGCCTTTACCTCTACAGGTAAAAGAAAGGTGTACAGTATTGGCTAAATTTTTAAAATCCATGGTCAGAAACAAAAATTGAATGTCAGAAATGTGAAATGTTGCATGCTTTCAGTTTTTTTCAAATAAAATGCCCTAAATTTCATTCTATATTCTTGAAGAGCATAATGCTTTAATTCCAAAAATATACAGGGTGTATATTTTAAGTTATACCACTATTGCTATATCCGAAACGGTAAAAGCTACAAGGTCGGTCAAATTAGTAAAAATTTGCTTTTTTTGATGCCCATTTAAGATTCGTTTACAGTGTTGCCAAATTCCTGTCAGTTTCTGAAATACAGGTTCATAACTAGGTCCGAATTATGGTAAAATTTTGGTAAAAATCATTGATGATCACTTTTTAGATCAGAAACGTCGACCAATAATACTTGAGGTATATCGTTGGAAAGAGAATAGAGGGTGCTTTCTTAAAATGTCATAAAAAATCCAGGTCCGTATTTAAAAAAATGAAGTTGATGATGGTAGCTTAACCACGAAACGTCAGATTCGAAATTTGAAGATGCCCTGTTGTAGAGCGAAAAAAATTATAAAACTTTCAAATTTAAATTGTGTCCCGAAAATAAATAGTTTTCGAAATATTTGATAGAATATTTTTAGGCGTTTCTTAGAAATCACCTTGTATTTCATAAACTAGAAGGAATTTGGCAACACTGTAAACGAGTCTTGAATAAGCATCAAAAAAGGCAACTTTTTTCTAATTTAACCTACCTTGTAGCTTTCACCGTTTCGGATATAGCAATAGTGGTATCACTTAAAATATACACCCTGTATAGTTTGTCTATATTTGATTGAACAGTCTCCCATATATTCGGCTCCAAATATTGTAAAAATACTATCCTACTACTGATGTCGTGAATTAGGTATATAAAGTCAGAATTTGTAACATTATTCATTTTTTGTCAATTTGCCTTTTGACAGGAATTAGTAATGTTACTTTACCAAACTAGTAACATAATGTGACAAGTTATTCAATACAAGCGAGTGGATTGTTGCGGAACTTATGGGTGGACCTCTACGGGACGAGCGCAGCGAGTTCCGCAGCCGTCTATTCATTAATATGTTATTTAATTACGATACTAACCTGACTCACTCAAATGTGAGTTATTCTCATTAGTTTAAAAACTACACGTTTCAGGTGAGTGTCTTATTTGAACAGTTCAACAGTATATTGGTGAGTAGATGGCTGCGGAGCTCGCTGCGCTCGTCCCGCAGAGGTCCATTCATAAGTTCTGCAACAATCAACTTTTTTGTACTTGAACAATAACTTATTATACATATAAAGTCGGAATTTGTAAGATTATCCACTTTTTGTCAATTCGCCATTCAATAGGAATTAGTAATGTTACTTTACCAAACTAGTAATATATTGTGACAAGTTATTGAAGTACAAATGAGTGGATTGTTGCGGAACTTATGGGTGGACCTCTGCGGGACGAGCGTAGCGAGTTCCGCAGCCATCTATTCATCAATATGTTGTTCAAGTATGATACTACCCTGATTCACTCAGTTGTGAATTTTTATCATTAGTTCAAAAACTACACGTTTCAGGTGAGTGTCTTATTTGAACAGTTCAACAGTATATTGGTGAGTAGATGAGTAGAGGTCCACCCATAAGTTCCGCAATAATCTACTTATTTGTACAGGGTGTTTTTTTAAATATTGACACCCCACCTACAGCATTTACCTTCACAGGTAAAGAAGAAAGGTGTAAATACAAAAGTTGTACAGTTTTGGCTGATTTTTTAGAAATTTGATTGAGCAATCTCTCATATATTTGGCTCCAAAAATTGTAAAAATACTATTTTACTACTGATTTTGTGAACCATTCTACCTGTATAGGTGAAAGCCTTTGAATATAAAACAACAGGAAGGAGCATAAACCTCGAATCTGCGGGACCAAAATATGTGGAGGTTGCATATGGCCGACTAGTATTTCCGGTTTGGCAGTGGCGTATATTTATTTAAATATGATTGTCAATATTATGACTCACTCTTTTCGCACCAATCCCAGTGCTTATTATCACTTAAAACCGCTAAAATCCATTAAACATCCACTAGAATGAGGACACAACGAACCACCAAAACAAATGATGTGTCATACTTGGAGGCTCAATATTGCCGTTTCCGTCCCTTTTTTGTCTGTAGTGACAGATAGAAAACACTCCTTCCTGTAGTTTTATATTCAAAGGTGAAAGCTACAGGTAAAATTTGAGGTACTTGATTTCTCTGATAGTATTTTTAAAATTTTTAGAACCAAATATGTTGGAGAATTTTAATTCCGAAATCTTCAATTGCTCGGTAATCGTTGAGCAAATTGCATTGAAATTTTCTGCATTTGTAGCTCTTATTAAGCTCTAAATAGCCTGTAATTTACAATATTCCTAGGCTAATAGTTTTTGGCAAAATTTGGACTAAAAATCAATTTTCAGGCTCAATTACTCAAAAACTTTTTGAGTTACCAAACTCAATTTTACACAGATTTATAGAGAATGCATTGCTCTTTTCAAAGATATATAATTTATTTTAATTTGCTTGAAATTTAATAAAGATATTGGCAATTGCTCATGACAATATAAAGATTTTGAAAATTTCCTAGAGCCAAAAATAGAATTTCCTTTTGTTTCTGCTTAAAATAGCCATTTGGAAATTATGTCAGAGTTGTTTTCCACTAATTTGGACCCGCTCTATCGATTGGTAAAGTCAAAATTGAGTAGAACTAAAAAAAAAAAAAAAGTGAGTTTTTATAAGGTTACTTTTTCTGAATTCTAAAAGCCAACTTTGAGACTCAATTGCTCAAAAACTATTTGAGCAATCAAGCTCAATTTTACACAGATTTATAGAGAATTTATTGCTCTTTCCAATGATACATAATTTACTCAAATATCCAACGAAAATCTGAGCAAAAAAATGCATGTTGCATAAAAGAATAAAATTGTCTAGGGTCACGATACCACAGCGGCCGGATCCAGTTTCGTCCTGTCCCTGCTGGGAATTTACGAGCACATCCAGAATAAATGCATTGCCGAATTACAAGAGATTTTCCATGACGACTGGCATCGTCCCATTACCTTTTCCGATACGTTACAAATGAAATATTTGGAAAGGGTCATTATGGAAACTTTAAGGTTGTACCCACCAGTGCCCGTTATTAGTAGACAAATTAATGAAGATATAAAATTGGGTAAAATTAATATATTTTGGAAAGATTTATTAATGAAAGATTTATTTTCAGTTTCAGCTAATTACACTGTTCCTGCTAAAGCTACAGTATTGATTTCTCAATATTTAACTCACAGGCACCCTAAATACTGGAAAAATCCTACCGTTTTTGATCCAGACAATTTCCTTCCAGAAAACTGCCAAGAAAGACATTATTACGCCTATTTTCCGTTTAGTGCTGGACCCAGAAGTTGCGTAGGCAAGTATAATTTTGTTTTTTTCATTTAAACTAAATTATTTAAATTGCATTTATTTAGGTCGCAAATATGCTATGCTTAAGCTGAAAGTAATTTTGGCCAGTATTTTGAGGAGATATATAATTATTTCAACTAAAAAGGAGGAAGATTTCAGGCTACAAGGAGATATCATTTTGAAGCGAGCTGATGGATTTTGTGTGAGGATGGAGGAGAGAGTACTTAGTTGAATTAATTTTGTAATAAATGTAACTATGTCATAATCTTTTTCTGGAAAAATTTCAACCATTTGTCTCTGATTAAACGCTGAAACTTTGTAAACAAAATTAGCGTTATTGTACCCCAAAGCACTATCAAAGCCATGCATTCTCGGCTAAATGCATTTGCTTATTCGCTAGGTATAGCAAAACGTGTGAGCTATTTACTTTGGCTTTGAGCTAGTGCAATTAATAAAATACACCCACTCTGTCTGTAACTTTCATTAAATCTCTCTGAAGAGAAAATACACATTTGATTAAACTGTCAATTCCTTGCGGCTCTATTAAAGTCTCAAGTCTATCAGTATGTTACATTAACTTCAATAATTTGTCGAATTAAGATGTTTACTTAATTGAAATTTTGAATTGATAAGAGTATGACACTCATTTTATTTTAAAATTTAATAATAATAATTTTTCTGTTAAAAGCCAGTAGACTGTAACTTCAAAATATTAAAAGCGAGCTCCCGATTTTAATGAAGCTACACAATCAAAGATAATTAATAAGGTTTCGTCAAAAGAAAAAATTCTCAGATTAAATTGATGAAAAATTCAGTTCATTTGATCTGAAGTGCTAATTAAAGCAAAACAATTTTGGTGCTAAAAATAATAATATTTGAAGCTTTTGGTCGTTTCAACTCAAATACAAAATTCGAACGTGAAAAAGCAAATGTTCGAAGCGTGAGCGCGTCGTTTAGAGAAACGTCGCGACGCTCTTTCAGTAGGGAATCGCACGCGTCTTTGTGAAAACCGAAACGGAATTAGTGTCGGTAAAGTGGACGCGCGGAAACTTTAAAAGTTGTTGGGTGCTTGTGTTTTGTGACAATTAATATTTGATCAGGTGTTTGGAAAACTATGTCAATTTATTAGTGAGTATATAATATTTTATGAGAAATCATATCTCAAAAATAGTAGGTATACATACCTTGGTGAAAAATTTCATTACTATGTCTTGAGATTTTAGTAGTATCTCTCGACCAGTGGCGGATATAGTGGTTTTTAAAATTAAATAAAAAAATTTAAAAAAAAAAAAACAAAAACTATATTTTAAATTTTAGGAACGTTTAGAAAGCTGGAAACCTATAAAAAAATCACACTTTTGTCTTTGTCCCAAGAACTTTAACCTCAAACAGTATATCATTAATGGTTGAATTGATTTATTGTTTTTTTTTTGTTCCAATAAATGAATATTTATACAAAATCAATAAGATTATGTACAGGGTGTTTTTTCAAATATTGACATGCCACTTACAGCCTTTACCTTTATAGGTAGATAAAAGGTGTAAATACAAAAGTTGTACAGTACCTATTGGCTAAATTTTTAAAATCTATGGTCAAAAACAAAAATTGAATGTCAGAAATATGAAATATTGCATGCTTTCAGCTTTTTTCAAATAGGATGCGCTCGAGGGGTAAACCGCTGAAAAAAATGTGTACACTAATTCCCAGGATTGTTACTAATTCCTCTAATTCCTCTCATTTCTTCTAATTCCCTTCTAATTCCCTCTAATTCCCACTAATTCCCCTCTAATTCCCACTAATTCCCTTGTAATTCCCCTAATTTTTCTAATTCCTCACTAATTCACCAAATCCACCACGTAAACTTGGCCAACATAATATGGTGTTATATAAATCAAGCCTAAATATCTGGGTTTGCAGTAGGTATTAAAATAAAAAAGCTGGAAAAGATGAACAATTTATTCTCACATCAAAAAACTTATAAAAGAAAATAAGAATACCCGTTATTTGTATTATAAAACTAAACATTGTTTCTGGTACCTACATATAACAATATTGGAAAAAAATAAAAAATTATTGTTTTTTAAATGCCTTATACCTGCTCTTAATATTAACTTGGTCTGCTCGTTTTAACTCGAATGGGCCTCCACCAATTAAATTAATAGGTCCGTAGAAAATAAAATCTTTATAAACGGTATCAATGTCTTCTTTTCGGGGCCAAATAAATGTGTCGAGCTCTGCTTTCAGAAACTTTATTTTATAATATGCGTTTCCTTTATCTTCAATTATTCGACCAATGAACCATGATTGGTCATAGAAAACCGCATAATAGTTTTCTAAATGTCGGCAGTTTCCGATAAATTTTCTGATTGACACGGCAACATCTCATCTGAAAACTCTTCCAAATCATCGGAGTCGTCTAGTTCCATCACGTCCCAATCAGTGGATGAGTCAGTGCTTGTGCCACTAGCTTGATCCATGGGTAGCTTCTGTTTAGTCTTTTTCAAGGTTGGCTCGGAGTTTTTGGAAGCTGATTTCTCAGGTGTTTTCCGAGGTGCTTTCCTTGTACTGCCTATAAATCTTTTTAATCGGTCAGTGCTTACTCTACCGTTGGACTGATCTAAAAGCCAGCAGTACGACGACTTTTTGATAATTGAGGTTTTTTTACCGATAACTACTTTAATATACGGTGATTTTTCCGATACAACATGCACTTTTCCGGAAAAGTCATTTAAATTTATAGAACCCGTTTCCAAAGTATCACCTTCGCCATCTTCATTAGAAATCTCCGAGGAAATATTCTCCGAAATTAAGTCCATAACCTCGTTCATAACTATATTGCTCTCATCACTAATATTATTTGTGTTTGCCACATCATGGTCAATTTCATTTTCTTCACAGTTCTCGCCAACTTCAACGTCGTCTTCGTTCATGTTTACGTTCTCCTGTGTAACTCCGATATTTTGTTTCCGTTTTATCAATGGTACCTGCATAAATTTCCAATCGTTTTCTTGCATTGAGGCCGAAATATCTCATGTCCTCTATGACATTTTGTAGAGCTTCTTCAATTATAGCTTTGATATCCAAATTGAGAATTTCATCTTCACGTGGTAAATTTTCTTTCATCAGTCTGTCTTTTAATCTTTTTTCTTCCCTTGGAAATGTGAAAGTCCCCCTCAGATCGTTTATGGTATCAATTGTTGTCTTAATTCTCTCAATTCGGTTCAGCATATCCTTTATACTAAAATTAATTATTGTGGAATATGTAGAGGTCATGGACCTAGCAGCTCGAAATAAGGATTCACATGCTTGGCTACCGAAAATATTGATGCTGAACATCTCTGGTTTCAACTCACCGCTTTTAAGCTTGAGTATTAGTTTAATTAAAGCATGGGCGTTAATCTCGATACAAAGGTAACAGTTACTTGTCAAAAAGTTGTCTGTTATTTTATATTTTTTTTCTGATTTAAGCCAGGATCTCCAGATTCTGGTAAAAAATACAACATACCAGATGTCATATAGTTTAGTACGCAAATCTGTGTTGGAATTTAGGAACGCCGATTCGACGTAGTACATAAGCTTAAGATACGCCACACTACCTTCACTTTGTGGAATTTCTTTTTTCAGTTGTTCAATTACTATCAAACTGCACATTTTTTCTGCTGCCGATGCGAAATTCATCTTGTCTTCACTTCTGAGATCAGAATCTGTTAGAAGATGTTTGTCTTTTGAAACCTTCAAGATCAACTGTCTAAGATGATCAGAGGTGGCAGTATATTTCCCAATTGGCAAATTTATTCCAGGTTTTAGGAAACGAGTTACGCATTTTTGTTAAAATATGGGTGGTGTCCTGTACATAACATTCTTCATTTTTTTCAATGCTGCAGTGGTACCAATCCCAATCTGGAATTGGCAATGAATCAAGTACCTCTGTATCTTCTGGGTTTGTTTGGTTTCTTTCCTTATATTCAGGAGCTAAACGGGAAATCAAATCAGTATTTAAGCGCATAGCTCTGAGAAGGCGAGTATCGCCGTCTGAGGAAAATCCCATAATTGTGATGCCAAATTTTTTAGCTTCCTTCTTCATCCATTCCCATCTCAAAGTGACCTGTTCAGTAGTGAATGAATTATCAGTTCCGAATAAGGACAACCAGTATGTTGATGCCCCAACATGTAACGGTTGTGCCATTATTACGTAAGCATATGTTGCTTTTACTCCGGTTTGAAAATATGCCTTGATTGCTTCAGCAGAAGTGGCAGGAAACGTACCTTGTTGAGGCAGGCCATTCCGCAATGGTAAAACCAATCCTATTACATTATTAGATTTGCTGTCATATTCAATTTTGCCTGTTACGCGAGTGCCATCCTCGGATACCCAAATCATTTTTGGTAAACCTCGATCAGTTAAGTGTTTTAATAGGCCTTTAAAATCAAATCCTCCTTCTTGTAGAGGCTCATTTCTAGTGTCCAAGAATCTATTTAGGGTAGAAATTGAAGGTAAACTATTCTCTAAATTTGCCTTTAGTGTTTCATAAAGTAACCTCCCCCCAATATAAAACAGGTATACTGCGAATTTTTTTGTAGCATCATCGTATCTGTTTCTATTGTTTGAGCAAGTGGAATTCTTGAGTGATAAATCCTGCAATGTTTTGAGTAATCGCGGTAACTCAGACACAGAATTATCAGTGTTTTGGACAGTTTCTATTTCACTTGTTCTCCAAAAGTTCATCAGCTAGTCCACTATTTCTACTTACTACTTCACTCACTTTTTCAGCAATAAAAAAGTAATTCGTGATTAAACTTTGGTCGTCTAATAAGTTTTCTCTAGCTCGTCTCACTCTTTCATGCCTCTGATATTTCTGTCTTTTCCATTTTGATGGTACTTTATCCATATCTTGGTTGTCGATTTTGCACAGTTGATTCGATGAGGTATTCGTTGATTCGTCAATACTGTCTAAGCACCTATCGTTAGCTTCAAAGAGACCGGTGTGGTCCTCGGCGGGGTCGCTGCTGTTTGCCTCTGAGAGGGTACCAGAAGCCGTGCCGAAAGCAGTGCTCGTAGCGGATTGAAACCTTGAGTCTAGATAAACATCACACAGTTTTTTCGGCAAAGTATTGGTGGAATGTGAGGCAGGAGCTCGGGAAGGAGATAAAACGACGTTACCAAGAATTTTAACTTTTGATGACTTTTTATTCAGGATAGGATTAATCTCGTGATCATTAGTTACCAAATAGGAAGTGATGGACTGTTGTTGAGGACGTGCTGAAATTTCCGTCGATACATCGAATGCCGAGGTGGTTTGTGTTTTGAAATGTTTAGTCATGAAGTGTGTATG